GGTTCCTGAGTCTTGAATGCCCCCTATCAAATACAATTTGTTTAGGCAGAAATAGTTTGCACAGGGAGGGAGGGGAGATGAAGATTTCATTCTCTCCTTCTCATTTTCAGATTTTCTGCAGGGAACTGATGCTCCAGGATCTCTGCTGATGTCCAAACAGTTGGTTTCATAGGGCCATGTTGTAAGCGGGGGGGCCTCTTCCTCGCCCTTCCATCTATTTCCGTGGACTTGTGGGTTTTCCATGGTCACTGTGTAGAGCTCTTGCAGAAACGCTTTTCTCTGCAGTGGATTGCTGATCTGTGTGGGCTGGCAGCTCCCTCTTCCCAGTCCTACCTGGTCTTCCACCCAGTTGCTTTCCAAATCAACGTTACATTATTTCAACACATAAAAAACAGTTAACACTATTTTGAAGTCATCCTGTCCAGTCTTACCACACACACTCTCTTCTGGTAGCTCATGGTGGTCTTGGTTCATGGAGTACCCACTGGTTGCAGAGATGTGGACAAGTGTCTGGCTGGCTGGCCACATCCCTGTAAGACCAGAGTCTCCAAGAAGTGTTGGCTGTAAGTATGGGAGGGGAGAGAATTTCACTGTCAGAGGAAGTTCTACAGCATGATAAAGATTTGGATTTTTATCAGGTAAAGAAAGACTCCTGACTCAGACCCTTCCAATCTGCCTCCTCACACCTGTGTGTCAGAGCCTGGAACAGAGCCACACCCAGGAGACCTTCGTGTTACTGTGACGTTTGTTTTGTCCCGGTCCTGTTCCCAGATTGAAGAACAAATCACATCCGAATGTTTATCACATAATGAAGCACTTCTCAGAACAGAGAGAACATTTTCATTGTACTTTGAAAGCATTAAGTCTTCAAAGTCATCTTTTTTTTTTTTCAAAAGTAAAGGGAAATCTAATTAGCTGAACTTCACATGTGATTCTGAGAATCATAATATAGAAAATTACCTTTGGAAACCGCTTCCCTTTTCTGAGACTTCTGGTTTCCGTTACTGGCCACAGACAGGCCACTGGAACAAGACAGGCTTCATCCCATTTACACAGAGATTTCAGATGCTGACGCTTGAGCTCAGGAGGCCTGGGGTGAGCAGGGGCTCCGAGAAAGGCTGGCTGGGTTGGGTGGACACTTTGAGTCCAGACTCCTGTAGTGGCCACGGGTCCCCATGCAAGGGGTGCCTTTACAATCACCTTCTGTGCCACCCAGCTGGGACTGGAGGTCCGAAGCTTGGCCTGCGCTGACTACAGCATCACTGAAGCAGAGACCCTGGCTTCCCACTTCGGGGTGGAGAAACTGGATACTAAGTAAAGTGGACCGGGATCCTGGCTGTACTGGGAAGGGCAGGTGGGAGGGAAGTGAGTATGTGGTGTGCATGCATGTGGCCCTGGGAACACTCCACATGCCATGTGCACACATCTAGGTCATCACAAGTTCAGGAAACCCCAAGCCTGGCCTCCTCTGTTCTAGGCAGCCTGGGCCTTCTGTGGTGGAAGCTACTGAGTGCAGCATGGAAAGGAGCCATCTCTTCTTCCTCCTGGTGGCTTTGGGATGTCTGCCACGGGCTTCCCCATAGTTCATCTGCTTGAGTCCACGCCATAGGTCATCAACTACTTTCCCCACCCCAGCATCAGTCTTCTGCAGACCCCACTCCAGAGTCCAGGCCTCCCCACTCCGCACCTGCTCCCACCCTCTGTATCTGTGTCCTGGGGAGCTCATAAGCCATGGCCCCACCAGGAGGGGCCCTGTGTTCTTGCTCTCTATTGGCTCCCTATGGCTGCACTAGCAAAGACCCCAGGCCAGGGGCGTCTCAAACCACAGATGTGGGTTCTCTCATAGTCCCAGAGGTCAAAAGTCCAAAATCAGTGTCAACAGGCCACATGCACACACACACACCCACAGGCTATGGAAGGAGCTTTTCTCGTGGCTTCCAGCCTCTAGGGCCTCCAGGCCTTCCTGGCTTCAGCTACCTCACCCCTGTTCTGCCTCCATCTTCCACTGGCACTCAGCCTGGTGATCCTGTGTCAGCTTCTGCTGCTATGAGGCACTTACCCTGTTCCAGTATGACCTTAGCTTAACTAGTGGCATGGTTTCCGAGGCCTCATTCTGAGGCCCAGGGAGACATGGATTTGAAAGGGACAGCATTCAGCACTCTGCCTTTCTCTTCACTTGACAACAGTGTGCTGGGGCCCTGGGACACAGACTCTGCACGCACATTTTCTTCCCTCCCCAGCCAGGGTAGCCTGTGGCCTCCAATCTGCGGCCCCCATTGTCCTTGGTCTGGGTCCCGAAGGCCTGCTGCCCCCAAATCCCTGTCCCACTGCATCATGGGAGCTGCCTGGTATGGGGTGGGCTGGGTCAAAGGCACACTACGCTTCCTCTCCAGGGTTAAGGCCAGGAGCACAGTGTGCGGACCAGTGTGCCTCTCACTCGGGTAGTCTGTCCTTTCATTGTCACTGTCCTGTGGCCACTCCCAGCAGTAAAGCCAGACCAAGAAAAGGGTTCTCGGCTAAGTCTGTGCCCTGAGGCCCAACCAGGGTCCCTGCATCGAGGAAGAGAATGTAAAGATTAGGCCATGGATGGAGAGGGTCTGCCAGGGAGCTGCACAGCCCAGACCCTCATGTACACCTAGGGAAACTGAGGTCCAAAGATAATGTGGGCTTCCAAGAGTCAGCTGTAGCCTGGGCATCAGAAAGTGATAGAGAATAATCTGGCCCAGCAGAGGTACACCCCGGTGGCAAACCTCAAGTCCCCTGCCCTGCCTTGAGTGGACGGCCATAGTATTGGTGGCAGCTGAGCTGGTGACTGGGAAGACATTCGGGAAAAGTCAGGACATGGAAAGGTGGACCCTGGAGGCAGATCCCCGTCCCTTTGGCCTCTGAGGGGCTGTGGAGGACCCTGGAAGCTTGCAGGGGCCGAGCAATCTCCCAGCAGGTGTGAGTAGCTGACTACACACATGGTAGGTGTGAGAGGCAGGAAAGATGGACAAGGCCAAACATGTAGGTCGGCTCGGCCCCTGCCCTGCCAGCTATGTGTGATCCCAGGGCTATGAGGTCCTGCAGCTGTGACCTGCACGGTTCTCCCCACGAAGGATGGAACCTGCTGGATGTCCAAGTCCCCTCCATGCGAGACCCGAATCAGGGCTGTATTCATTCTTACCCTTGTCCCCAAGGGCAGGGCTGAATGACAGAGCTGGTCAGACTCTCCAGAGAAGCCCCCACAGGGGATTCCTCTTTGACCCACCACCTCTCTGTTGCCCTTTTGCAGTGTCGTATTGCGGGTGGGGACAGTCTGGGTGGGGTGTGGCTCAGGAGAAGGTACCACCAGCTTTCTAGGAGGGATGAGCGTGAGGCATCCTCAGGCTCGGAATATGGGGGTGGCCAGTCGCTGACCAGGGGAGGGTCCCCAGCATGCGCGTCCTTCTGAGTTCAGGCAGCAGTGGGCACCAGCCTGCCCTCACCAAACCAACCCTCTGCAGGTTGACATTTCTCCCCCCAGGCTGGAACCAACTCCAAGATTAAAATTAATTTCTCTTCTGCCTCCCAGCAGCAGTGGTGCAGTCTCCCTGGCACATCCTGTCTGATTGCGCAGAACATACTCTGTCTTTTTGGGCTGGGCCTAGAGCCCCAGAACTGGGATTATTTGCCCAGCCGGAGCCTTGAGATTTCCTGCAATCCCTGAGCACCTGTGCACTCTGCTAGGCCAGAGCCGCTGCCTGGATGGGGTTCCAGCCTGTCCCAGGCAGGTGTGTGGACACACTGTTGGCCCTCCCCACCCTGAGGTTGTGCTGACAGCCAGCAGGAGGACAGATGGTAACCGAGTGGAGGTGGCTGGGGTGTCTGCCTCTTCTGTGACCTTGAAGGAGTCCCTTGACTTCCATGTAATCCTCTCCGAAAGGCACCCTGTATGTACTAGAGCAAAAGGAAGAGCTGGATCCCGGCCTCTCAGGCTGCTAGGAATGGAAGGAGCCCGAGTGGGAAGAGCTGCTTGTGTGTGGAGCCTCTTTGGTGTCACACAGATGGTGCTGGCGGCTGCGGGACACAGCCTTGCTTCCCCCAGCCCCCCTCATCCAGGGAGCATGAGAGTAAGGGTGACTCATCCTATTCTGCAGACAGGCAAACTGAGGCCTGGGAAAATGACGTGGCATGACAAGAGGGGGCCTGGGCAGGGAAGAGAAGGGTGTATGTGTTTGTCCCCCCACCCCACACCTCCCATCACGCCACAAGCCTCACTCCCTGCCCCATTCTGGCCTGCCTTCCCGTGCTGGAGTCCACTGTCCTCGTCTAAGAGGGTCCTCCCTGCGGGCCCTCCCTAGGCCTCTTCCCCCTAGGGACACTGTTGCTTGCTCTATCCCACTAGCCTCCATCATTCCATGGCCCCCAGCATTTCATTCCACAGGCCGCTCCAGTACCCCAAAGACCCTGCCATACAAAATGGACCTACTGTAAAGTCCTCCACTTGGGGTCCTGTGCCCACTGCTAGGGATGCTGGCATTGTATAGGGCGCCCTTTGGGGTTCAGTACCTGTCTAACCTGTAGCAGTCAGGAGAGCCTGCGTTAGGCTGCAGTAACAAACAGTCCCAAGGTCACAGTGACTTAAATGCATGGAGATTAATCTCCAGCTCACAGTTGGTCACCACAGTGACGGATCTGCTAGGCCCTGTTGCAAGCTTTGTTCAGTCACAATGGATATGCAGAGCCTACCGACTGGACCGTCACCAGCTGGAAGTCCCTACAGCAGGGCCCAGGGGCCAATGGCAAATGACATGTGGGTGTCAGGCTTGTCCCAGAGAGACTGCATCCCTGTGGCTCCCATCCTGCTGGCCACACCCAGCTTCGGGAGGTGGGAAAGTCGGTCCTCCATGTAAGGGGTAAATGGGGGTTTGGTGAGAAGGCCTGCTGGTGCCTTTCATGCTGGGGGCTGGTGAGAGGAGATGCCGCTGGCCGGGCACTGCCCTCACCACTGGGCCCTGCCTGACCCATCTGACCATCCAAGGCCAACCAGTGGGCCTCCTCACATCCATGGACCAGGTTCCCTGTGTGGATTAGAGCAAGTGACAGCCACCTCAGGCCTTGCCGAGATGGCATCTGGACTCTGCCTCCTGCTCGCTCTGGGGTGTGGATGTCATGGTGCGGCTTGGGGAGCAGGCCCCTTCCCCTACCCCAGGGCTCATCCCTCAGTCTGCTGTACCTTTGTGAACCTGATGGACATCGGCTCCATGCCATGAAGCCAGCCAGCTGGGGGTCATGGGCTGTGACCCGCCGAGACCAAAGTGACAGGGCCTCCATTCACAGAGAGCACTCGCTCGCCTGTGATCAGAGGTGGGCCTTTCCCCCTGGTGTCCCCCTGCCTCTTGATCCTGGTGCCAGCCTTCGTGCCACATTCAGTGCTGATATGGGTGGGGGGCGTTTCCTAACCCTGCCTAAATATAGAGTGCAGGCAAAGTGCTATCTAGAAGGCAGGTAAATGAAACCACTAGAAATGTGTGCAAAGGGACCAGGCAGCGTGGACCAGAAAACATGCCTCCCTAAATGGGCTGGCAGACTGTGTTGCTGGGGGTGTTTTATGTTGCCAGCTGAGTTGTGACTCTCAGCAACCGTCTCCTAGCAACCGGCATGCGGGGTACCTTGCTCAGCCAGGATGGGCGGCTGGGACAGAGGCTGCCAGGGAGTGAGAACAAGGCGGTGGAAGTGGAGGGGGGAGGTCTGGAGGCCTACAGCCCTCTGCTGTCCGAGCAGCAGGGGTCCACCAAGGCCCTAGGTCCCACTCTGTCCTGGTGGCCTCCATGGGGGTGAATTAGTGGGGCCTCTTTTCCTCCATTGCTCCCCTCTATCGTGTGTCTTCTATACCCGAGTGTGTCCTACTTTCTATTTTCATACCAAGGTCTAAAGGTCCTCTCAACCACTGCCTGGCTCTGCTGGTTAAACCACCTAGACCAAGGCTGCTCCTGGCATGAACTTGTCAACTTCTGCAAGGTATGGGGCCCAGGAAGTGGAGGGCTGCAGGGTGAGAGAGCAGGGTGCAGAGGCCCTGAACAATGCCCGAGTCAGAGCTGATATCCCCCACTATTTAGAACCTAGGGCGGCCTCCTGTGGTCTGGGCCTGTTTCCTCATCTGCAAAACAGAGATGGGAGAGCTGAGTGTGGTGTCACATACCTGTAATCCCAGCACTTAGGAGGCTGAGGTAGGAGGATTGCTGCAGGTTTGAGGCCAGCCGGGGCCACACAGTGAGTTCAGGCCAGCCTGAACTACCTAGCAAGACCCTGTCTCAAAGCCAATGAAGTGAGTGTGGGTGGTGGTGCGGGCCATACACTGTAACTGCAAAATTGTTCACATTTTGTGAGGTCTCATCCCTTAGGGCATCCCCCATCCACAGCCACCAAGTGGTGACATTCACAGTGCGACCTTGACCTTTGGATGTGGGCGGCATGAGGCAGCACTTCTCCCGGTGATACCGTCATCCTGTAGGCCCCAGTCCTGCTGCTGGGGCCTGTCCTGTGCATTGTAGAGCAGTCACAGCAGCGACCCCCATCATGACGACCAGAAATATCTCCAGGCATCCCCACGTGCTCCAGGAGGCAGGTGCCAAGTCACCCGGGGTTGAGGATCCATCTTTCAGAGGAAGATGCATCTTTTATTGTCATGTGCCGTTTTTGAGGCGGGCTTGCCGGTCATGGGAGCGTTGAGTGGGGAAGACAGAAATGTTGCCTTGGGAGTGACTAGGGGGATCCCGGGATGTCATGGGGTCACTTTTCCAGGAGGCGGTGTCTCCAGCAAGCTGAAGGGCTAGAGGAACCGCATGGGCACAGGGGAATGGGGGCCCCATCAGGCTGTGCAGTGGGGGTGGGAGGGAGGAAGCATGGCTCCTTCCTTTCTCCTGCATGGGGTTTGCCTCCCTGGGATTGTACCTGAACAGTGAGCTACACACCACCGTCATCTTCATCTCCGCGGACATGGCATTCTGGGACCCTCCCCAAGCCTGGGCTCCCCCGCACCTGCCTCGGTGGTGGAAGTGTGCCCAGGGGGCCTGGGCACCAGCTGAGCCAATCCCTGCCCCAGAGGACAAAGCCTTCTACTCTGAGTGTCCACACTTGAGGCTGCTCCTGTGGTGAGAAGGCCTTGGGGGCTGGACAACCTCCTGCGCAGGGCCCCAACCCCACCCCACATCCCCAGCAGCACTGCTCCTGCCACTCAGGACCCTCACAGTGCTGACTGCCTCTAATCCTCACTCATTCATTGGTCTGCAGCAACATTGTCCTGTAGAAATTTCTGAAAATGGCTTATCTGCTCGCTGGAGAACCACCACAGCTCCCTGTGGTTACTGAGCACTCTGAATGCAGCCAGTGTGACCAAGGACCTGAAAACTTAATTGTATTTCATGTTAATTAATTTCAATTTAAGTAGCCACAGGTGACTAAGGACGCTGTATCAGATCTCGCATCTAGTGAGGCCTTTGCCTTGGGGACAGAGCTGAGAGGAACTTGCAGTGCCTTCCTTCCCTCCCTCTTCCCCCTCTCCTTCCACCCTCCCTTCCCTTCTCCTGTCTCCCCACCCCGTATTTCCTGAGCACCAGTCACGTGCCGCGTGCTCCTACCACCCGCTCTGGCCATTCCTGGTGTCCTCTGGCACTGTGGAGTGGCTGAGGGGAAGACAGTGAATAAACAACCGTGTGCACAGAACCTGGGCCGGTGCGACAGGGGGCAGGGAAGGTCACAGTGGCCACTGAGGACGTGGGCCTGGAGCTGGGAGCGGGAGGGTGAGGAGCCACACTGCCTTCCTACTGTGAAGGCCCAGAGTTTGGCTGTGTGGGGAGGAAGTCATGAGGAAGAGGCCAGCACAGACCCGAGGGACAGGTGAGGAGCCTGGATTGTGCTTGCTAGGTGACAGCGTACCGTTCGTGGTAGGCAGTAACGTGTGTGTTAGCCTGTTTGATTTCCGTCTAAATACTGTGTTGGAGAGGATGCGGTGGGTGGAAGAGTGCCCCCCAAATCATGTCCTTTGCAGACATAGTTCGTTAAGGGTCTTGAGATGAACATCCTGGGGTCAGGGAGGTCCCTAAATCCCAGCAGGAGGTGGAGGACAGCTCTACAGCTGGGACCCAAGGGTCACTGCTGCACCAGGAGCTGGGAAAGGTATGACGGGGCCTTCCTTGGCATCACAGAATTTGGCTTTGGGCTTCTGTCCTCCTAGACTATGAGCAAAAATCAGCTTGTGCTGCTTTGTTTTTCTGTTTTGTTTGCTGTACTGGGACTTCACACTGAGCTACATCCCCAGCCATTTTTGTTTTATTTTGAGATAGCTGGGCTCAAGCTTTTGATCCTCCTGCCTCAGGCTCCCAGAGGGTTAGAATTATGGACATGTGCCACCGCGCCGAGCCAGTTTCTGCTGTTTTAAGCCACCCAGTTTGTCACAGCAGCCCCAGGACAGTGACACAGAGGAACAGGAAGCTCCCTGAGCTGCTGTCCCCTGCCCAGCAGATGGAGTGGAGAGAAGAGGTCAGGCAGGGTCCGTGGTCACTGGTGGGTTTTTCCTTGTGCAACTTGTGAACGATGGGTCTCTTTGTGGGCTAGGAGGCCTGGGGGAGGGTGATGTTGGAAGGGACACGGAGTCCCTGGGTGCCCTTCTGGACACATCCCTCACACATCCTGCTGGGTCCAACTCATTCCAGAAAGTCCCCAGGAGCGGCTGGTCAGCTGCGTCCTTGAGCTGTCCCAGCCCCTGCCCAATGGCATACGGACCCCTTCCCCCTGCTGTGCCTCAGGGTGGCCCAGCAGAGTGGGCCCTGAGGGCAGTGGGTGACCCTTCCCCTCAGACCTTGCCCCTGGCCCAGTCACTCATCCAGCCCAACCTGCACTCCTGCCTCCTGCGCTCGGGGAGCCCAGGGCCGCTCTGCTGCTGCTACCGTGAAGCTTCACATCGCGCATCTCGTGGGTATTGTACGGCGCCACCAGGGAAGATGGGGATGAGCTGTGTGCACCCTCCCATCCTGCCTTTTAAACTCTCCCAGCCCATTTCCTCCAGGAAAGTCTGCCCACCGCAGTCACGGGGCCAAGGTCTCTTGGGGACCTTGGGCTCCCAGTTGATCTGGGCCAGCTAGAGGGTGTGAGCTCCAGGCCTGCGGCACATACTGCTGTGGGACCTTGGGCAGGTTCCTAAGCATCTCCTGCCTCAGTCTCCTTGCCTGTAAAATGGGGATGAGGACAGATTGATGCCAGTGTGAGTAGTATCTAGGTCTCCTGTGGGACCTGCACAGCCCAGACACATGGTCACCCTGGTAGGTCTCCCAAAGCCCAGTGATACTCTCAGGATGTGGACTCTCGGGGATGATTAAGATTAAATGATTTCACAATGGTGGGACTCTGTGATGGGATTAGTGCCCTTGTAAGATGAGGTAGAGGCTAGAGTGCCCAGGACAAACATTCTGCCCGCCATTAACACGGCCCTCAAATGTTCTTGTTTAAGCTTCTAGCCACTTGGTAGCTCTGTTAAATCATTCCGCCCATTGTCCCCAGCCTCAGTTAAGTGAGCTGGTAGGAGTACAGCCCTAAAGGAGGATGTGCCTAAGTCACACATTGCAGAGACAGCTTTGCAGGCCACTCTTCTGGCAGACAGTGTGCCCGTGTGCCCGCACTTTCCCATAATCCTCACCTGTCCCCACTCCTCACCTGTGCTCACAGCCACCTCGCAGGGACTTGTCCTGGTGTAACAGCTGCATGATGGCAGGTCCTTGTGTAGGGGAAGAGGGGCCAGCCTGAAAGAGTGGACGGAGGAGGACTCTACTTACTGTCCCTGAATCTTCACCTCCTTCTATGGCAATATGACTCCCTGTGGTTCATTGAATAATCCCTGAGGTGTCCACATCCTGGTCCCCAGAACCCGTGAATATGTTTCATTGCTTTCCACATTCAAAGGGACCTTGCATGGTGATGAGGGTAAGATCTGAAGATGAAGGTGTTCCCTGCAAGCCAACACAGGCATCTTTAGAAGAGGGTGGCAGATTTGACACCCAGAAAGAAAGGGGTTACAGACTAGGGTGACACAGCTACAAAACAAGGGACACCTGGAGCTGTAGGGGTGGGAGAGGCAGAAAGAACTCTGCCTTGAAGTTTCCAAAAGAACCCACTCTTGCCACACCTTGAGTTTAGCTTGCTGAGACCCGTGTTAAACACTGGACTTGAGATCTGCGAGTTCATCTCTGCTGTTCTAAACCACCGAGGTTGTGGGAATTTGCTGGAGTCTCATTCACTGTGGTTTGGGGTGGTGACTACTGGGGTGAGCATTACTCGGGGAGCAGCTAGAACGGTGCTGGGGGCCACGAGCAGAGTCGGGGCTGTGGGAGGCAGGGCGGTTAGGGAGCAGAGCCTGCCTCGAATGCCACTGTGTGCTGCTGCTGGTGTGGCCCTGTCCCCCAAAGCTGGCCACCCCAGATGCACCTCGGAAATGGTAGATTTGCTCTGTTTCACACAAAGGCCCTGGACAGCCAGCCTCAGGTGCGTTTCCAGGTCCTTCCAGGCCAGGTTTGTTTTTATTACACAAAGTGAAACCATGTGGCATAGTAGGCTGAGGGGAAAGGACAGTTGGCATCCAGATGTGGGCTCATTTAACCCAAAGGTGTGCACACCACTCTCGAGCTGGTGTTAATTAAGCTGGATTACTGTACTCATAAGCCACAGCAGCTTGTAATTCTGCTGTAAGCAGCCAATCTTGGGTTTTGTGACTTAATTACTGAGCCCAGCCATGCATTCACCTGCAAGCCAGGCCACCACTCACCGGAGCCTCAAAGGAGACCCAGCCTCCTGCCTGGAGCTTAGCTGTAAGTGCTGCTTAACTCCAGGGGCCTTGGTCCTGATTCAAAGACTCGCCTCTCCCAGGTAGGTTCATTTTTACCTCTGAAATCACCGCTCACATGTATCTTGGATGATTCCAGAAGATTGCTCAGAGCTCGGTGCTGGGCACTGGGGACCTGGTTCTGGGCCTGCAGGAAACAGTGTCCACCCTCTACCCTCATGGCCTGGTCCTTTCCTCTCAGCACAAATGCTCAGTCTCTGAATCCCCTCTTCCATCCAGGTACCACCCAGATACCACGCAGCCACCCACTGGGGGCATCCTGATGCTCTAATCCTATCCTCTGCCTAGCGCCCCCCATACCAGAAATGCCATCTAGACCCCTCCCAGCTGCGGAGGAGCTGGTTCTTGCATCTCTGACAGCCTAAGTGCAATGTGGGCTCAGCACAGGCTGGGCTTCCTGTTCACTTCTGTCTCCTGGGGGCCTCAGTAAACACTTATCAGGAGAGAGAGCAGTTGATCAAAGCTGTTAGGCTGAATCCCATCAAGCTGGCAATATCTAACCATCTGTGACCTACAAAGCAGCAGTTCCACGTGCCTCCACCACATGGAAAGCCACAAGCTTGGTCCAGGGAAGGAGCAGTAACAAGAAAGAGGGCAGGAGGAGAGGCACCCAGGGTTAGCCTCAGGACTCAGAGATGAAGAGCCACACAAGGAGGCAAGAGGACACCTCCCCTGCCACCCACAAAGCCCCTATGGGTCCAGGAGCTTAGATCTGTGGGTGGGTGGGCTTCCTTCTAGGACCAAACTCCAGAATGAAGCCAACTGGCCAGATGACGGACCCAGCCTCACAGTGCACTGTCGTCAACTCTTCCAGGTGCAGAGAGACAGAACACCCACCCCATCGGGCTGTGTGCAGTGGGGACCCTATAACAGACAGGCACTAAGGGGCAAGAGAAGCCCAGGATACATCGCAAGCAGCCCCCAGCACTCAGGAAGATATTGAGGGTCTCGACGGCACCTGCAGGATTGCACCACAGCTAGGGACCCCAAAAAGCAGCCATTTCTAGGTTTTACACCTCAGTGCTCTGGGACACGCTGGGCCAAATCATGGAAAGAGATCCTGTTTGGGGCACCTGGAGTGGGGCCCGGGCTGATCTGTCCAGTCCCTCCTGAATGCATGGTGTCATACACCCAGCAAGTGTAGGTCCTTCTGAGAACTATAGGCAGAAAAAGGGGCAGAGCAGCGTTGGTCCAGGGCCATGTGGGCATTGCCCTGCCCCCCAGGAGCCCCAGCGGGAGGAGCAGGTGGGCTGTAGTAGGCAGAGATGCCAGGGTGCTCCGTGTCTCCCTCCAGGCCACCCTGGGGTGAGCCAGCCGAGATGCCTCCAGTGTCAAAGACCTCGCCGTGGTGCATGCAGATGCCCATCTGCTCACAGGCTCTGTTTGTGGGGCGAGCCGAAACGGTTGCTTTCCTTTCCTTCTTTCTGCCTCGCCAGCCTCTGGGCCTGCAGTCTTCCAGGAGCAGAGGAGCTGCCCCCTCTCTCCCCTCTCTGGAGCTCTTCACACAGTAACACAGAATACTCATCCCTCCCGCTTGTCACAGTCTCGGGGTGGAGGCAGCAGCAACATTGGGAAGAAGTCAGGTGTCCACTCACCCCAGGCTCAGGGAGCTGTGCGGACTCTTGGGGAATCTAGACGAGCTTGGTCGCCTTCATTCTTGCATCCGTGGACCAAAGGACAGAGCCTGGGATTGAGGGAGGGTCTGGGACACTGTTGTAACAAGAGACCCCTACCTGCATGAGCTAAAGCACCAAACACTTGGTCATCCGTCTGGATGTTGGAAATCCAGGGTCAAGGCATCAGCAAGGCCATGCTCCACCCAGAGGCCCTCGGGGAAGCTCTTCATGTTCGTTCATCATCTTTCTCTCCCTGTAAGGAAGCAGCTGACACAGATACCTCATAAAGAGGAGAGGTTATTTTGG